CGGGAAGTGGCTGGACATCACCTGCTGATGGGGAGTAGAGAATAAATCTTTTGTTTTCCTTTGCTTCTGTGTGTGGCCTTTGCTTCTGGTTTATCAAACTGCCTTTATCTTGACCCACATGTTTTTTGCCATCGTATTTTCTCCTGCCTGTCCTGCTGAGAAGGGGGGGGTGATATAGAACAGCTTGGTGGGCACCTGGCACCCAGACAAGGTCAACCCAACACAGGCCTTTTTGGCGCCCAAGGCGGGACACGAGACAACAACAGTTTTGTACTAAGCGTGCCATAGCTATCGTAGTTACTAAGGGGCAAGCTTCTCTGCGGGTCACGGAGTTTGTTGGCTGCACTGCTTATCTCTTTATTTTGCTGAGCTTGGGAACACACTAATACAAACAATGGCTGTGTGCTTTGCCCTGGCATTGATGGCCTTACTGTGCTGGGGAAGCTATCTTGTGCAGAGGACAAAGAGCCCAGATCCCTCCCGGTGTGACATTGGCCCTTCTCTGTGTCTGAAAAAGTGATTCCTCTGCTGATTGACCCCAAAATTTAGAAATTGCCTTCAGTCAACTATTTGCCCTCCTCCCTTTGGATCTGTGTCTCCACCTGCCTATCACTACCTCAAGGTTTTCATCGCTTCCCACCTTCGCCTTGTTCCTTGCCATATGAGCTCACCTTTTCCACTTGCCCTTCTTGTCATTATCATCGAATTTTTATTTTTCAGGGTGCTGCTCCCAGCTGTGAGAGGACCGGGACATCAGTCCTGTCCATCCTTGCCCACCATCCGTGCACCCAGGGCTCCCCGCGCCTCCCCACGTTGGCTCCCATCTTGGCTCATCCTCTTGCCCAGTCCCTCTGCGCTTCCAGCCTCCTCTCGCATCTTCTAGTTGAGCTCCTGGCTGTTTGGGGCAATTAATCCAAGCCATGCAAAAGATGTTTATTCTGCAGCATCCCTTAAAATGTCTTTTCTGCTCTATCGCATTTCACTCCTACTCTAGAGGCATCCCACTGGGCGCCGTATGACAGGATCGGTGTCCATGACGCAGTAACGCTGCTCTCCTAAGCCCCTCTTATCTGCTCTGCAGCCACCTCTGTGTTTAAGGACATGGAGGGGGTTGTGTGCCATATGGAGTCTTCATATAGCAACAGCGATGTCTTTTTGCTGGCAGCAGTCAACAAACAAGCCAAGAAGATGTATGTTGCCCATAGCTGCTGCTTATGGACAGAGGAAAAGATGGCTCTGGCTGTGCGAAGGTACCTGAGATGGAGAGCGCAGCTTGCCACGGCTTTGCGTACTGCCTCACAGAAATGATCGTGGTGTGCTCTGGCCAACTGGTCCTGCTGGGATGGGATGGCAGGGCTTCATGGTCAGCCCATAATTAGCTGCAGTGACCACAATTAGCTGCAGCAACACTCAGCGCAGTAGCTGAACGTGACACTTTTAGAAATAGCTCAAGAATGGGAGATGGGGCACTGGGTAAGAACTAATCTCATAAAAACTGGTGGGAAAGAGGAAGGTTCTCCTCCTCTGGGTTGTAATGGTGTTCTTGAGGGGATCCCCACATGTTCGCAAGAAAAGCTTAAATCCAGCTCTTTGTTGGTGCTTTGCCTTCGCCCTTGGGCTTTCTGCCCTGCAGCGAGTGAGCCCAGTTCAGGGGAAGAGCCGGTGTGCTGCCGTCCTGCAAGCGGCTCGGGCAGCCCTCGGAGCCCCGGCTTCGGCTTTTACCAACGCTGCGGGCTGCCCTGGAAAGGCAAAGCCTGAGTCACCAAGTGGCACTCACGTCTGCCCTTGGGCTGCTAAAAGCTGAACAGTGCTAAAATCAAAGTCTTTTTGTGTGATACCACAAAGTATCACAAGCCCTGACCGTATTTTTCTTTTAAAGTTTATATATTGAGCCATCTTAAAATGCAGAAGGGGAAGGAATTGTCATCCGGAGTGGGACCAGCCAGCAGACAGACCTAGCGGGCACCCGCTCAGGAGCCTTTCCTGCAGACAAGCCATCCAGAGAGATAACCCAGGCAGCCAAAATGACGTCGCAGGCTCTTATTGATCCCTGCCTCTGGGGGACAGAAGGACTTTAACAAACACAAGTGAGTGTCTGTGGAATATTGCATCTTGCATCTCTTTGTTTCCCACACGAAGAGTAAGAGACACTTCTACCTCTTGTCTATACCTGCACCTTTTTTTTTCTTTACCATCAGAATTCATTTAGAGATCTTCTAGACTGCATGATTATGCAAGATTAGGCTTCCAGCCTTTTAATGAAGATAACAATAGGGGTAGGTGGCTCTAAAAGCAACTTCAGACAGAAAATCCACTTGCAAAGAGAAAAGTATGAGGGATGTGTTCTCTGCAGCACAAGACATTTTATAGCTAAGTTGTGTGGCAGAAGTGTCTCAAGAATGGTGGCTGTAAGCTGGCAAAGTGGGTATGCAGGTATCAAGGAAAATAGGAAACTCAGAGCCACACTGAGTGCTCAGTCTGTCCTGCTGTCTGAAAACACAGCACAAGTTACTGCAGCAGCAAATAGCGATCGTTTGTGCGAGTCGGTTTTGCCTATCAGAGTATCACCACTTCAGAGAGTCACTCAGCATCACTGAATGTACCTTCAGATGATGATCTAGAGCAAATAACCTGGGTTAATGCTTGCCATGCCAACCTGCCTATCAGACGCCATGTGTTTCTTATCTTTTTGCACAATGCACATGTTCTATCATCTTCTTTGAGAGGAGGGGAAAGAGAAATACACAGCATTTAAAAAGTGGAAATGGTAAAGATGTCTTCAGATGTGGTACAAAAGCTGTGATGACCAGAATCCTTCGTGCCTTACACTGTGCAATACAGTGAGATCATGGAAACCTTTATTTGGAGTGCAGGGCTGTGATTGACATGCTCCTGTTTCAATGCACTACTGGTATAGACAGAAGAAAATCTCTGCCAATTCTAAGCCGTATAAGGTACCTGACCTACAGATGAGTCAATCTAATTTTATCCTGTTGTGAGCATTGGTGCACCTGTATAATGAATAGCACATTATCACATCCTTTGCTTGACTATCTCAATATAATATGTTTAGTCTTCATAGCCTTTGGTGCATCATGTTATTTATTCTTTCATCTAATGTATTTGGAGCAACTTGCTAGCAGGATGCAGCCCTATTTATCCTTCTAAGGACAACAATAGCAGGAATAAATGTTAAACTAAAGGAAGGAATAAAAAAAAATAGCAGCTTTATTTGTGCTACGCCGAGATGCATTTCTTGGCAGCCCCAGAGATTCAACAGTCTGGTATTTATCACGACGAAATGCAGAAATGTCTGATGATTACAGGAAGGAAAATAAAGAGACTGAGCATAAACTGCAGACTGAGAGATAAGGGCATATTTTTATGGCAGGCAGCTGCTAAAGCGGTGGTATGTCAAGTCAGCCCTGCGCTGCAGCAGAGAAGAGTGCACGGGACAGGGCAGTGAGGGGGGCAGAGCTGAAACCAGTGATAAACAGGACAGTATACTACCAAGGAGGAGAATCAGGCAGCCTGCTTAATCACATTATTTAACACCAGGAGGATTATTTTTAAGGAATTTATCCCTCCTTCATCTCCATTGCTGCAAAATGCTGGCATTGGCTATGGAGATTATTTAAGATCTTTCTTTTTGAAAGGAGCCCCTGGCACAGTGTTCAGTAAGAGGAGTCTGTCCGGCAGTGCCCGGAGCTGCGTCAGGGATTTAGCATTGACCTGAGTCCCTCGAGGACATGGTCTGCCCCTGGCTACAAGGTGGGGTCTGGATTTGGATTTGGCCCTGGCTTGTTTGTAGGTGGGTGCTTGGCATGACCCCTCTGCAAAGGACCCTGATGCAATGCGGATGGGTTGCACTATTATAGACCCTCTCTATGAACAGGCTTAACACCTGCAGGGGCTTTTGGGTGTAGAGTGGAGGACAGTTTCTCTCCTGAAGGGTGGGAAATTCCAATCTCAGTTGGGGTTATGATGCCAAGATTACTGAAATCAAGAGTTGAAGAATAAGCTTTATTATCGAATCTGAAAGGCTCAGTGAGCTCAGGGAGCTCCTGGTGCAAGTGGGACAGTCACTGTACGGCTTTGGTCAAGGTTGCTTGAAGTTAGGTTTAGGATTTGAGAACAGAAAGGTACAAATCTCTCAATTATTGCCAAGTCTGTAAAGTCTGCTAACCTACAGGAAACCTGCTGAAATGGAGGCTCATGTTGGTTATGGAGAACAGCTGCCGTGTTGTTGAGCAGGGAGTGATCACCAATTTAACTTTAGGGCTATGGTTATGAACCGGGCTAAGATTTCAGTTCAAAAAAGGAAATGTGCCGTTGCCTGGACTGTTCCGGACATTGCACAGACCACGTTCTTGGTTGAAGATGAAGGATAGCAATGAAATTCATTATTCTGTTACAGAGGGAGAGAAGCTCCTGGTTTTTAGCAGTTGCATCCCAGTGGTGGAAGTCCTCCATTCCCCCAAGACAAGTACAGAGCCAAAGTAACACATGATCCTTCTGTTTTGGCTTCATTTCATCCTTTTGCAGTATGGCACATTTGATGCAAGATTCAAGGGAATGATGAATTGCACTCTAGAGCTGGCATTTCCCAAGGACAATTCAATAAGGACATATGGGCATGCTGCATATGATACAGATCTTACATTCATTGTAGGGTTAACACAGGTAGTAGCATGAGTCTCTGCCCGGCAAACTCTTCTGACAGATGCTTCCCTCATCCTCTCTGCCCCAAACAAAACCACCAGCCTTTTAGGATCAATAATCTCTCATGCAGGTGAGGAGATTGCCAAATTACCCCGGTAGCCTCCAAGGCTGGAGTGCAGACCCTGTCACTCAACAGTGCCAAGGGCATCAGAAGCAATTAAAGAAAAATGAGAATTGATTTGAAGAATGTAATAATCATTCATCTAGCTGGGGGAAAAAAAAGGATTTTATCATTGATATATATTAGAAAGAGTAACATTTACTCTCTGATAAGCGTTATGGCACCCACAGAGGTAAGTCTGAAACCTCAAGGACTTGCACCAAAAATGATTTAATTCTAAAGAACAAGAAAACAATAATGTTGCAAATCAATCCAAGAGGCTAAGGCAGCTAGAAGTGGGCAGGGGAAGGGTTTCTGACTCCAGTCTTGGCCCAAAGTTCAGAAGCCAAGTATCTCCCCATGCCTGCCTTTCCACAGTAATTTTGCTTCCCAGCTTGTTTTTGTAATCACTCTTGCAGCTACTCTTGGAAATACACAGATGTTCACCCTCTGCACTTCTCACACGTCCTCTCCTATTGAGGCAGATGTGCTCATTGCAGGTAAACTTAAGTGGGGATGGTGATCTCTGGGTACAGAGGACAGAAAACCAAAGAGTAACAAAGCAAGGTGGTTTTGAGGGAGAAACTGAAAACTGCCATAGCCTGTAAGTATCTCTGCTTGTGCTTTGGTGGCTGCCCTCGGACAGGCAGTTTTGTCACTCTGTGCTCAGCTTCTCGTTGCTCTAACAAGGGACAAGGAGCTTCATTGATCTTTGTAAAGCATTCAGTAAGCACCACATTTTTCTTTCATGTTCTAGATGTCCCTGCTATAGAACACATACATCAAACCCTGCCCATAATGGAGTAATTAAACAGCACTGCTAAAGGGATGTCATAGGATAGGACTGATTACAGCTCACCCAGAAATGTCTTTCCAAGTCTCAGCCCCTTTGACGTGATTCTCCCCCCTTTCTCTGAATTTCTTCCTGCATTAATTTCAGCCAGTCCTGGGATTATTTGAAAAAGGGCCTTGGGGGACTTGTTCAAAGGCACTGCCACCACGGACGACTTTGCTTTCTGAACTGAAGCATTTCACTCCTATCTGTCTGGACATATGAGCTGCTCAGCACTGCTTCATTAGGCAAGTTATTTTTAAATTCCCAGAAAGAGCAAAACATTGAGAGACGAATTAGCATTTGCTGTTGAAACAGCTGCAAAAAAGAACAGGCAGAAACCCACGCCGGGTCCCCCCTGCTAGCCCTGTGATTAACCGGACTGCAGTACCCAAAGTCACTGGCATACGCTCAAGCTGTACATGAGATGTTAGAAATCATGCCCGAAGATAAAGATTGGTGAGTGACCATCAAAACTGTGTTTTGGATGTAAATAAGAGGGTGACTATCAACACTGAATCAGAAAATGTCTTTGAAAGATTTCTCTTCCCTCCAACCCCATCCTGTGTTTCCCACTTTCTCTTTCCCCCGTTTTTCTCTTAAGGACTTTGATGCTTAAAAAAACCTCCATTCTAGTTTCTCAACACAAATGAATGAAAAGATAAAGCCTGCCCAGGGTCCTTGCTTCCCCTAAACAATAACTAAAACCCAGCGGGCACGCAATACTTTAAAATGCCAAGGGACTGCAATAAAGCTGATGTTATTTGGTGTTATTCTCGCCTGCTAACATGTTTAAGTTTCCATGTGGCTAATACTGCTCTTACAGCACAGAGTTAAAGCAAAAGGCATGGCAATAAAACTGTTAGAGGCACGTTTTGGTAGCTGTCTTTTTGCAAACGCTGATTGCCCTGCGGCTTGTGCTGCTCAGGGCAGCTCTGGCTCACACTGATTAAGTTACGCAGGTGAAAGTAAGGGTTGGAAAGCTGTAGCTCTTACAGATATGGCCTAAACCTGAAAAGGGAGGAGAGATGACTCAAAATGGCCTTTTCACCTAACTGGGAGCACTCGCATATTGCAGTTAAGGCTGCCTGTGCCTGCCTGCTTCACCTCTTCCCTTCACCCCTGCCTGCAGTCATAGTGTTTCTGTATTTACTCAGAAGAAATCTAGCAGGAGCTGTTCTAATAACCTGCTCCCAATTCCAGCCTAATAAAGGCTGACGGATTCCTCTGAATTAATTCTTGTTCAAACCAGAGTGTTTCCTTTGGAAAAAAAAAAAAATCTTATTAAGTATTTCCAGTGATTCTTCAGTGACAGGCACTCTGCCATAGTCGGCAAATTGTGGGTGGGCTGTTTCAGTGGACAACTTTCCCCACTGCTAAAAATAGACAGCAACCTATTCTGATGGTCAGCTACCAGACACCACTTTGCCACATAAAGCACCCTTTAGTGTTAAATCTGACCCATGCCTTCCTAGAGACTGCATTTAAAATCTCCCTTAACCTTTTATTTCTTAATAAACTGTGTTTCTCGGGTGTTTTCTCATTGAAGGTGTGTTTTCCAGCCCTCGGGGAAGTCTTCCTGGAGCCCACAACACAGGTAATAAAACCTCCCTTGTTTTCCTTGGTGTCTCCCTTTTTGGTTCTATGGAAGCATTAGCTCCTCTTGGCAGAGCATCTCATTAGGAGCTCATGTTCAGCTGATTATTCCTCTTCTGAATCACTGTTTTCTATGACTTTGTCACCTACCCTGTAGTCCAGCTGCTGCTCTACTCTTAGCCTGATGACTTTACATCTGGTGGCACCGAAAAACATGTTGTTTACTTAAGCTCAGCTCATTAAGTGATCCAGATTAGGTTTGGTATCAGCGACCTGCCCCTAACTTCTGTGCACCTGCAGATCACCAGTAATGATTTTCTATCTTCTTGTGGGTCACTGATCACACATTAAGCGGTGTGGGGTCAAGAACTGGTAGGAAGGGAGCTGTGCCTGGTTCAGTGATGCTTCTGCTTACAATTACACTTGGAGACCTTTCAGTTAGTTTTCAGTCCAATTAATATTTGTCATATTGACTTACATCATTCCTCTTAATCAAAATATTGTGAAAGAGAAGATCAGATGTGTTACTAACTGAAGGTTTATTCTATCAGCGCTACTACTTTAAACCATGACATTAAGGAAAGTATCTGGTTAACTTGACAAAGCCTACTTTTCATAATGTTACAGTATCTTCTTGAAATGATTTATTAGTGAGGCCTCTTACCTACATTACTCTGCATTATTTTGCTTGGCACTGCTGCCAGCGTGACAGAGACGCACCACGTTTGCTCCAGTAAAGGCCATACTTTCCCCATCCCCAGATGGGCTCAGCCTTTAACTGAGTCTTTTGCAGGGCCCTGCTTCGTTGCAAAATGCGATATCCCTACCATCACTTTTGCAGGCAGGCTTGTGCTTGTTTGTGACCGCTACAACAGGGCACAAGTATGAAGGAGTGAGATTTGAAAAGGGAAACTGCGGAGTCAGCATAATGAGAAGCGGTAGGCAGCTTCTGGTTGTTGAGCGAGTACGAATTAAACGTTTTGGAAACGTGTAAGCAACTTCCTTTCAAAAATGTGCAACAGCACTTCTCTGTGGCAAAGTTTTACCCAAACCTGCCAGCTGTTACTCCTTAGGTATCCTTGATCACAGAATGTCAAGTAATATGTTTCATTAACTTTTTAGGAGACACATAGCTGCAACAGATTTCATCTGGCCTCTTCTCTAGCAGCTGTTAACAGAGAGGGGCCAGGCCAACTGTCCGTCCTTGTTTCCCGCTAACTACTTCTGCTCAGAGGCAGGTCTCCAAATAAACCCCGCTCAGCGGTGGTAGAGTCGCTGTTATTTTGCCCAGTGCTGCAGAAACCTTTCTATCTGTGATGTAAAGTCCCGTGGCTCCACAGCTTCCCACACTACGTTTTGTACCGTGGTGTCTCTGAGCAGAGCTCGAAGATGTTCTCCCAACCCCATGCGTTTGTTTTGATGTTTCCAGCTCTCGCCTTCGAGAGATTAGCGCTGGTGTGTGGCAACACTAATACTCAGGAGCTAAGTAACACCAAGTAGACTCGTTTTTCTGTCTAAACGGAGAAAAAAGGAAAACAGCTTCAGGTGTTTTTAACACTTAGAACAGAGAAAAAAAAAAAAATCTTCTTTTTAGAACTCTCCACCAATACAGTGTTGGGACTGTCTATTTAATTGTAGCATCTTGCAATTGTGCTGTTTCTTAGCGTGTAACAATTTGTTGTTGGTTTTTTTGCTGCTCCTTTTGAGGCGAGGCAATGGAACAAGGTTTACGAGACTGCTGTAGATCAATCCGCATAGGAAAAATCCTGATACAGAGCGACGAGGAGACTCAAAGAGCGAAAGTGTACTATGCTAAGTTTCCACCAGACATTTACAGGAGAAAGGTTCTTCTTATGTACCCAATACTAAGTAAGTGCCTTTCATCATCATGTACAGTTAGACTCATCTGGACAGTGAGTGCGCTGAATTTAAAGGAAAATTTCCAGATTTCAGGGGCTTTGATTAGTTTTATTTATCAGCCTGTGCCAGAATACATATTAGTCAGCCTGCACCAGCATGAATGCAGAGCAAATCGTTTGGGCATGCCTGTGTTTGTGAGAAAGGTTGAAGCATTAAGACTTGATATAAATTAAATTTTTTTAATTTTTCCATGAGAAAATACTCAACCAGTATTTTTCTCATGCTATTAAAAGACATTTTTTGGATTAATATTATAATCCTAGAAGTAAATTACTTCAAATACAGTTAATACTACCAAAAAAAAAATTATAATCTGGTAAGCGTGGTAAGGAATTTGTCAGGATGAAGTAACTTTTCCAGTCTAAGATTTAATTCCGGTTCTAGACATGGAGCTCTTGATTGCCATTTTACTATTTTAGATGAGCTTTTTTGCCTCAGGGCTTTAATAAAATCCACTGACTCCAGTGCTTAAAACCTGGCGGAGTTGGCTGTTTCAGAGTAGAGTTGAAGTTCCTTCATCAGGCGACCAGAGTTTTCTACAATTAATCCATGCAGAGGTGATAGTTTTCCAGTGGGAAAGGACAGTCTCATCATTCAGTCACACACCAGTGTTAACACAGATAGTCTCGGATGGCCTAGGGCAAGTTCTTCAACCAGGGGAAAAGAAAAAAAAAAAATCTCACTTTTTCCCCTTTTAGGTACTGGTAATACTGTCATTGAGGCTGTCAAAGTTCTTGCAGAACATGGCGTACAACCAAGTGTCATTATCCTGCTAAGCCTATTCTCCACAAGTAAGTTGAAGCCTTTGCTCTCTCTCAAAAGGTGCCAAATCGATCATCCAGGAATTCCCAGAGATCACCATTTTAACTACAGAAGTTCATCCTGTTGCACCAACACACTTTGGACAGAAGTATTTTGGAACAGACTGACACACTTGCAACAAATGGATATGACTATATGAGGGTTTTTTTCTACATTTTATTATTGTTGAGTTGGTTGAGGGCACGTTTAAAAATCTTTTTGGCCAAAGGGGGAAATTCTTGACTTAGATTAGATCTGGTCAGTTACTGCCTGAACACCGAATCGGGTACAGTAACAAAGCAGCCTGTCATTACAAAGTCAAGCATCTCAATGTCGGGTTGTATAAATTGCTACACTCTGTTTTAACTTATTTATTCTTCTATAGCCTGAATTTTTGGAGTGCAACTGGATTTACAGCACCTAACTGACAATAAACATCATGAGAGAAATCTTTTGGACCTTTTCCACAATGCATCATAGAGATCTATCCTATAGATTGCACCAGTGAAAGTGGAAACGGATTTTACCCCTTAAAGACGTATTTGCATGTTAAAAAAAAATCTACCACACACTCAGCTGAATACTTCATCTCTTTCATTACCTGCAGCAGTGACAACAGCCAGCCTGAGGAATTTCTGTTTTCCAGTGCATTTACCTAGCGTATTTGACAGAACTTTACGCATCCTGCATTTATCATGTTCTTTGTATGCAACTTTCTTTCAGAAGCTAAGGAAAAAAAGTCAACTTAAAAAGTAAATAGCAGCCCAGCTTTAAAACCACAGGTAGCAGTGGGTGCACTCAAATTACTGCTTTTACGCTGCCCAGCTCTCTAGTTAACAGCCTTTTTAAAGGCCAAAAACACTAACTGGAAAAGCTGTATCCTCCTTAGTAGGCCATCTGCAATTATGTTTGTGGCATCAGCTGCAATAATGCACTGAGCAAAAAGGTCTCAGCAGCAGTATTTGGAGAAACACTAAGTTTCCCCACAGGGATCTGACTGTTCATTTACATGCTGCCTTGAAGAACACGGGCACATGAAGTCTTCAGCAAACGCCGCGCTGACGCCGTACTCCTGGACACCCACCTTCCACTGCAGCTTTCTGCACTCGGCTTTAATCCTGGGATGCAGAGGAACCTGCCCGACTATTCCGTGGCACTGGAATGCAGCATGAGCGGTACCAATGCAGGCGTAGCGTAAGGATATCTCCCTTAATTAAGCAGAGGAGAACAAAATGGAGCTTGTTCAGTCACTCAGACACGGGGTTTTTCCACATTGTGTTCTGCCTCATTTTTACACAGCTTTTGTATTCCTTTCACGTTTCATTCTGAAGCTTTCAAAAATATGACATGTGAATATTGATTTGAAGTGCTTCCGAAGCTATCAGACTATTTATTGTTTCTACCTGGACAAGAGTTTGTTATAACCAAGTGAGGCTGAGCTGCTTTTAAGGAAAGGGAAAAATCGGCCATACCTAATTACAGGAAAAGTTACTGAATAAGAGCCTTTAAAAGCCGTTTCTAAACCTGAGCTGGATAGCTGCGTTTTCGTAAAGATATCCATTTTAGTAATAATTAGAAGACAATATCTACCTAACGAACAGTGCTGCAGCTAGACAGCAGGCAGGGATCCTGCCTGCAGAATCCGTAAGGCGTTCTT